GAGCTTATATTTGAATGGAAGAAATAGGTAACAAATAAGCACACACATAAGTAAAATAACTTCTGATGCTCATAAGTGATATCAAGAAAACAGTGAGATAATGTGGCTGGAAATCTCTGGATGTGGTAGAATACAGTGAGCAGAGAAGTCCCCGCTAAGGTGGAGAGAGAGGGAGAGAGAGAGAGAGAGAGAGAGAGAGAGAGAGAGAGAGAGAGAAAGGAGGCTAGTGTGGCTGGCTTTGGGAGAGTGGTGGAGATCAGGCCAGAGCAGAAGGCCTGTGTGGTGCTTTGTAGGTTGTGCATGAAGCTGGGGGAGTGAACTGTCCTCGTCCCTCAACCACATGTTTCCCTGGCTGGCTGTCCTCCCCAAAGGTGCTTCCATCACTATTATCAAATATTTGACTCTTCAAACAGGTATCAAGGATGGACAACTTATTCAAGATAAAGTCCCAAGGTTGATGAGCTTCCTTGGACACTCACAACTTCTATATTGGTTATTCCTAAAAGGACCCATTCTTTCAGAAAAAGATAAAGATTAATTTTTAATTGGATTGATGATCCTGGTACTTAAGCTACATTCACTGATTTGGAAAAGAAACTATTGGCTTCTGAATCAGACTATTAATTTCTTGAGAATTAATTTATTGAACATACTAACTAAAAAGTGGTTTACTTTATGTACGTAGCAAACCCTTCCAAAATACTTACCATATGCCAAACACTGTTAGCTCTACAAATAACAACTAATTTATAAGCTATCTTGTATACTATTTGAAAAGGAACAAATTGCAATATTGGAAAGTATTACTTTAGTCTTCTGAAAAAAACACAAGAGAGACACATTGTTTCCTGTTAGTATGCATATAAAATACTTGTATATATTAAAGCATCATCACTTTTTATCATCTCTTAAAACTGAAAACTTAGCTTAGTTCTAGTGTGATATAGGCAACTTTTATGACATATCTAAAATATCTATGTCCATTAATATCTAAAAAGATGTTTTAATAACAAACTGAAGATGTGTGAATGGATAGTAGGTTTTTAACAAGTAGTTTTTATATCATTTTAAATGTTTCATTAAGACATTTATCTAAAAAATTCACCTTGTGTAGCAGTTAAAAAAATTACTTCCCCCAATAATTAATGGCTGGTAAAGATGTTCCCGTTTTTTTCTTGTCAATTAAAAGCAATTAGGAGAGAAGGAAAATGAGTTGTCAAACCATTGTGGCATGAACCTGGCTTAATTACCGCTCTCTCTTACTCACAGGAAACAGACTTTATAACCACAGAGTGCAGGATGGAATGCCGTACCAATGGATATTTGTGAAAACAGATACTGTCAAAGCAATTTTTTAAGTAAAGTAAATAATGGAGTATTAATTAGAGGCTAATAGACTGATATCATATTGCTCTAACTTGCCAAAGACATTACCTGTTTGTCAAAAAAGAACTGTTCACGGCCAGCATTTGGAGCTGCAAGCCAATAATCTGAGCAGGTGGTCATTAGAGACTTTTGCTAGAGGCCAGATCATTTTCTCTATAAGTAGCTTGGTAAGGTTCAGGCACTTATTTCTCCCTGAATCAGCAATTATTCCACTTCCAATTGCCGAGGTACCTGTCCCTAATGCCAAGGAAGAGTTTGAGTATTTCTCCTTTCATAAGCTGAGATTGATTTACTGCGTTCAGAATTTTTTTATCTGTTTTATTGGGTAAACTCAAAATATCTGCTCTACTGGATAAATTTCAATTATCTGGTAAGTGCCTCCTTTCTTCTCTACAAACAGCATATTTGAAAACATTGTTTTGGTAGAATCTTCCCAGAAGACCACATAATCACTATTTAAATTAGCCCTAATTCATTTTACATTTGCTTATTTTACTGTTAACTTTCCCAGAACTGTATTTTTTGTTTTACAATTAGAACATCTGAATTTTAATTACATTACCATCAAGAAGCTCATTAAAGTCACTTAATTGGCAACATTTCCAAAAAAACCTTAGCTGGGTTTAATATATTTTAAAGAGTTACTGTCAAAGTATAATTTCACCATTACAAACAGCTTGGCAACAACATTTGCATAAAGATCTGTCAGTTTCTGAAAAATGCTCAAATGTTGGGAAAATCAGATTCGTTAAGTCGCCTTTACTGAAACAGGCCGGAAATGGGGAAATTGTCACTTAAGTCATCTTTGTAACCTCTGCAGTGTGCAGAGCACTGCCATGCATGGCACAGATAGTCAAAAGAGTTTTCGTGAAGAAATAAATCATACATTTTATATTTTGGGGTTAGATTTTTAAAAAGTTAAAACCTCAAAAAAGTTTCTTCATTTGTGTTCAATTTAATAAAATATCCATTTTCTTGCTGCTTCTTTCTCATTTACTCTGAGAAATATTATTTTTTTAAAAAAAAATTCGCTGGCCTGGTATGGCTCCGTTGGTTGAGTGTCATCTTGTGCACCGAAAGGTTGCCAGTTAGATTCCAGGTCAGGGCACATACCAAGGTTGCAGGTTCAGTCCCAGTTGGGGTGGACAGAAGCAACCGATTGATGTTTCTTTCTCTCTCCCTCTCCCTTCCTCTCTCTCAGAAAAATCAATGAAAACATTATAAAAAGAGAAATATTAAATGGTCACTTAGAATTTTGAAACCTTTAAAAATATCTCTAAAGTCAGCATTGTGAGACTGAGATGAGATTATTTTGAGATGGCATAATATTTTAGAGTTTCCTTCTTACACATACTAGAATCCCATCCCTACAGTACTGATCTCATTTGAACTTGATTGTAGTTACATTCATTTCTCACTTTTACAAGACTTGACGCTCCTGCCTTTAGACAGGCATCCTCTCTAATATACTGGTCTGTTTCGGGAGGATGGGGGTCCTGAAATAGTGGCTTGCAATGTCATTTGTCGAATAAATGAATGAAAATCTGAAGTTTGTCATATATGAAGGATAACTGTGCATTCATTAGGGTGTTGGGGCACTCTTCACCCCCAAACTTCATGTGCAAGAATAAAATGTGATCAACAGTAGTTATTACAATTTGCTTCCTACAAATATAAAAGGTAAGATGTACTTTAATCATCCCTTTTACTTTGGTATTTTCTACTAAAATCTTTCCCTCTATGGTTTGCGTACCTTTTATCTTCCAAGCCAAAAGAAGAATTTAGAAAAGCTCTACAAAATGTGAACATTCACAAACAAAACCACCCAAAACACTGCCTCTCAAGTTGCTACCTTACTCTCTGCTATAGCCTCAACGTCCTGCAGACTGTCTGATACATAGACAGACTCAATGCATGTTTGTTGAATAAATGAATAAATACATAAACACGCGCTGACAGGCCTGAGGAGCATCCGGATGATTCTGCCGGAGGGGCTCAGGGAGGCTGCATCGACAGAAATGTAGGAAACCTGAGTCCCCGAGCACAGAGGCGTTCACTCATTCATCAGTTGGTGAGCTCCTGTCCTTGGCTGCGTCCCAGGATACAGTCTGTGAAGACTCCTCCAGGACAGCACCATCCAATCGCACTTTTTGTGATGATGGCAACAGTCTACATAGGATACCTACACTACCATGTGGTGGACCCTGGAGGGTCCTACATGGGAAAATACACAATTAGATTTGCCTTTCAGACATTGCCTCTGTGACAGTGGGAACGAAGGCCTGAGGTGAAGACCACTTACTGCGTGATGATACCAAATGCATATCCCACCACGGCAGAAAAGAAGTGGGAGTAACAAGACTGTCTATTACTTTTGATTGTCCTGTTGTCTCTGACTGGTGGTTTCTCTCCTCTCCCTGGCTGGAGAGAGTGAATGATGAGGAAATTATGAGGCAATCTTATGGGCTTGCTTCAGAGGCTGCTCCACGCAGAACGGGAAGTGGTATTAGCTTCTCTCTGACCCTCAGGGCACCTGCAGCTGCTGTGAAGGAAGGAGGCTGTGGCCAGCCCTGAATCTGTGAGGATGCTGTCCAGGCTCCCTGACCACCACAAAGTACCTGAGGGCTTAGGTGGGACTATCTGGCGTGAGTGGGAGGCATGCTTTCAGAACACAGTGGTGGTAAGAGTGCTGGACTAAGAAATCTGGAAACTCTATAAGAGTCTGTTCTCTGACCTTCAAGACCCCTTCCTGCTTAATGTTCTATGTCTGCGTTGGTTCTTCTGGCTACAGAGCATGAGAGAAGGCCTGAGGGTCTTCTACCTGCAATTAGGAAGAATCAAGCTAGGGGTGGGGAGACATCATCCAGGGCAATCAGTTCTGGGAAAGATGGCAACGAAGAATGCCTGAGGCCCTGGCTGCACGGACACTTCCAACAGTAGCTTCTGCTGACCTGGCGTGGCTCTCTGTCATTCCGTGGCGATCACAGAGATGGCGAGCTGCCCACACATTTCTCACTGATGGGGACAGTTCCTGGCAGAGCACTGCCTTTGAGATTTCAGTCATTATGGCTTTTTTTTTCCTTTTTCAGAATGAACTCTATAGCATAGAAGTCAAACCCCAGAAAATCTCATAGAACATTTTTCCTTTTCAGCTATTGATGTCCATTTTATTTAGTTTTCGGGTTTGTTTAGGCTGGTGTGGTTTAGCAATCTGAAGGCAGTTACTATTACTAATTCACAAAAGGGATACAAAATAGGTATGTTTCCAATTTTGAAGCATCTCTTAAAAGGAGCCCGAACGCAAAATTCTGACTGTGCTCTTGGCAATGATGAAGAAGTCTTCTGGGAGACATGCCATAAACACTTCCTGGAGGGAGAGCATAGCTGCAACATCAGAGTTCCTCTCCCAGTGCCTCTCTGACCGATCTCTGCCCAATGCCATTGGGTGCTCTGAGCCAGCACTAGCGTTCTCATTACAAAACACCCCACTCTGCCCTGCATCCTCCTCCGTCACAACCAGCCACCCTGATAGCACTCACCCCCTTGCCTAGCAGAATCCCTTGTTTTCTTCCATAGAGACTGGAACCTGAAATCAATCAACACAGACAAGATAATAGCATGGGAACTTCTGACTTTATTTTCCCCTCAAGCAGGTGATACAATACTGTGTCTGAAGCAAAAGGCCCGGCTCCCTTTTCTCTTCTTCCACAGAGTAACAGAGAAATGTAAACAATATTTCCATTGAACCCCCGAGTCCACCCAATTTTTCGCCAGCCATTCGAACAACATTCACTTGTTTGTTTATACCAACACTTAACAGCATAAAGAGTAACACAAGCAAACAGTCTGAGGCATTTGTCTGATGTGTTCAGATGGTGATACGGGCTTGGATCGGCACCGTGTTCAGTCTGACAAAGAAAAGCATTGCTTCAGGAAGTGGGTCATGTGGGTGTACAAGTGCTTTATGGATAGGCCGGATATGCCATGGTTCTGGTCGGAGTACCACTGAAACACAAAAGGAAGAAGCCGCCTTATTCCTGCAGCCACACGATGCTTTGACCTTTTCAGGCTCTAGGACCTGGCTAACTTTTCTAATATTATAGTTGAAATTCTACCTAAGAACACTAAAATACACAAATGTAAGCATTTGGAGTGGAACGATTGAAAGATCTATTAACCTTCACGACAGTTTTGTCTACTTTAAACTATAGCTTAGATCTCTGTGGCTAAGCGTTGCCAATGGCCAGCGTCCTGGGATCAGGAGGCACGGATCCCAGAGCTCAGGTGCTGGGTCCATTGCTCTGCTCGTCTGGAGCTTGGTTTCCTCATTTGTAAAATGAGAGGGTTGGATCTGATTTCCCTCAGGTTCCTTCGAGCTCAGACATCCCATGAGGCTTTTAGTCTCTGACTCTAATTCCTCTCTGTGGCAGAAAATCCACTACACGTATCAACATAAACATCCTTTATAGGAGTTAAAAATAGTATCATTTTAAAAACCAGAAATATGATACCATAGATTTAAACTTTATTGTAGGAGAGATGTTGGTAAGATTATTGTTTTCACTAAATAAAAGTAGCTAGTGGTGGTGATGTAATACTATGAACTTATAAATTGAATTTACCTTGGGAAGTGACAATAAAAAAATTAAAACAACTAGCCCAGCCAGTGTGGCTCAGTGGTTGAGCATTGACCTCTGAACCAGGAGGTCATGGTTCAATTCCAGGACAGGGCACATGCCCAGGTTTCGGGCTTGCTCCCCAGTGGAGGGCGCGCAGCAGGCAGCCGATCAATGATTATCTCTCATCATTGATGTTTTTATCTATCCCTCTCTCTTTTCCTCTGAAATCAATAAAAATATATTTTTCACCTTTTGCACATTATTAAAACACACACACACACAACAAATTTCCAAAAGGTGGGGTTTCCTTTTCTGGATTCTGTTTAATATAAGCAAGTGAGGAATAATTCAGGCTTCCTCAGAGGGGGAAGGATAGGCATTAGGGATTGTCTCTTTTGCGTTGGCTTTTACTTTATTTTCCTCTTTTTTCATTTCCCATTCCTCATGCAACCTGGATTTTACAATGAGCTCATTCGGTCATTCACTCAGTGAAAACGGGAGTCCTGTGTTGGCCACATATGTGCCAGGGGCTGAGGACACATGGAAGAAAAGATCCTCTAACTGAGTGGAGCGGCATGACTTCAGGGAGCCTCGGGGTGTCTGATAACTTCCTGCACTAGCTTCTTACAGAATAAACAGAACCTTCTAGCTGCTTTGGGACTCCCGGGTTTTGCAGGGACTCCTGGCATATAGGACCACAAAACTATTGGATGTGTGAGCTAGATAATCTAATCTTGTGGACGCCTTTATTTTATACAGGACTCATCCGGGACCACCAGAGGGGCCAGGACTTGCCTACTGTCCTTCAGGGAGTTAACAAAAGATCAAGATTCATTTGCTAATGTTATGCCTACTCTACCCTTCTGCCTGTTTGTCAGGTTTTGTAAAAAAAAAAAACATTAAGAATTAAAAATAAGATTCCTCCTTTTAGCTTAGGGGTCTAAGGCCGTGAACATGAGTGAAAGGAAATTAGGTACCATTGCCTGGAAATCCACTTGTGCATTAACCAGAGCTTTAGCAATCTGTGCTGAGTTTTGAAAGTGCACATTATCTGCAACAAAGAGAGAGAGAGTTAAAGTGCTGTTAAATACCAGAAAGCGCAGAGTGACAATGTACTGCCTGGAAATGAACACCGACAATTATCTAGTCATGCCGTTGACATTGTCAGCAGTGCGGAATCACACTCGTTTATGGAAATGCCCCTGACTCCTAGGTACTGACCCTGAGCACAGGCATAGGAGGATGCTTAATGTTTCTTAAACAAAGTGATGCTGGCTCAGTATTTTTATGTGTAAGAGTCTTGCTTAAACCTCACCATCTGCTGTTCCGTGGATGAGAAGATAGTCTACATTTCTGAAATATTCTGCTCTTGCCATCACAGTCGAATTCTGGAAAAGAGGAAAAATTAACATTTTAGTTGCTGCAAGTTCTAATAGAAAACCAGCTAAATCATTGTGCAATGGACTTAGCACCAATACTGAAATTATGTATTGCTTTGGTTGATAAATATTTAAGAGTCAGAGCAACACATTTTCTTCATCATTTGCATTACCTCCATCTGATTCTTGGTTTGAAAAACTGAAAGTTTATGTGTCATATGTTACATATGAGTGAGACCTTAGGCATAAATGATGCCTGCTCAAGCTGTGGAGGGGTTGGGGGTGGGATGGAGGGTGGAAAAAGAAAGAATAAAATCTGAAAGGAGTAAATTCCTTTCTAGTGAGGTGTTTTGCAGCAAACAAAAGATCATCATACTTCTTTGGGGACCCAGCAAAAGTGAACACTCTGAATGACAGCTTTAAAATTATTGTGCACATCTGAAATAAATTAATGACCTAAATATCACAAAAGATTCTTACTTTATAGTGCTCCAGATTATCATCCTTTGTCGGGAGACCCATGAATCGCTCTGTGTAGATAGATGCTATAAAATATATAAGATGTTGTTTGCATACGGTATGTATCGTTTCATTGACCCATGAGACCCCCTGGTTTGATAACTGCTCCTCAGTTCCCCCATGTGCAGCTGCTCAGGAAGGTTCTTGCTGTCCTTTACTGCGATGCTCCACCCAAGGCTGTTGCTCTACAATTTCCCTCCGTAGGGCTGGCGAGGGAATGGAGGAGGAGATTATGGAAACGGGAGAATCTATCATTAGAAAGGGTTGATTCTTAGCTTTTTCACTTCTACCCAAAGTGTGTCCCTTGAGGGAATGTTGAGCTAGAAATGACCCCATGGAATGACCTCATTTTATTTAAAAGAAATCACACATGTAGCCACCTGTATTACTCTCCTTCGTGTCTTAAATTATCTGGGATAGACATCTGTCCCCCAGCACACATATACATTATTTTTTTTTCTGAATAAGGATTCCCTACAAGTCACAACTGTCTCATTTCTACCCCAACACAGGGACGAGCGTCTGATGAGAGCTCATTTTTGTAAAATTATTAGAGTTAATTCCAAATAGTCATCTGCATTGATATGAATCTTAAAAAACAGGCAGCAGGAGAGGTGTAATTTTTGAACAGATAGTTATTGCTCTGATCTCTAAAGCAATGGAGCTGGAAGCTGCAGATTGTGGTGTAGAGATGAATTACTTGGCCTTCATCGGACTTGGTATAGGATGTGCTTAGAAGCCAGCTATGCTGCAACTGTGTCTGCAGAAACACAATTCGCTCTGATTTTAAAGGTTTGGTTCAGCAGGAGGAGCAATATTTATTGAGAGAAGAAGATATATTGGATTTTGGAAAAGTCCTCCCCACTCTAAAATGTCTTAAATTGTTACAACACAATTATATTGAATCATATAAATAATCTTGTTTATACATTGTATTTCCCCGATGATGCTGGGGTAAATTTTACTGCATAATTTGTTTTCCTAGCAACCTCAAATATGGAGCAATTATGTGTTAAATGCTTTCGCAGCAATGTTTATGAAATGTTTCCATACCATAATATTCCCAGCTGGAGACTGGAGCTACCGCTATCCCACATTTGAAAAGACCAGTTCCGGATGCAAGGGCCAGTGATGAAACATAACCACCGTAGGACTGTGGAGACATTGGTATGAGTTAGTCCCACATTTCCTTTCAGAAATTCGCCTCTATATTTTTACAGCAACTTTACTCACAATAAGTGCTGATGGGAGCTGGGGAACATGGATAGGGTAGGTTAAATGTCTACCTTACACCCTTGGCAGCAAGCCCCACCAGACGTGACTAATTTCATCCCTAGTAAATGACAAATACTTAGCGTGTTGATCAGAACATGGTAGGAGCAGTTTAAAAGAAGATATAATTGTAATTTTTCTGCAAACATTCTTTTTTCCCCTCTCTCTTCTATATTTTTCCAACCAGGGCTTTGCTACAGCAAAAACAGGATTTGACTTAAAAGAAATGCACCAAAAAAGATTATTCCCAAAATGTAAATGCAAGCTACTTCCCATAGTTTGCAGAAGTCCTGAGAGGCAGAACTTGTGTCTGTGTATTTACTAATTTTCATAACAGAACAACAAGGTAATGACATAAGAACCTTCTAGATTGTTTAAGACATGGCCAGGGTTTGTGTATAATGTCGTGTTACATATTCTGAATTAAGGATTTCTGGCAAGGCAGCTCAAAGAAGGTAAAGCCATAGTGTTTTAAACATTTTTACACACCCTCTCACAAATATAACAGAAAAACAAAGAAATACACATGGAAATACAAATTTCAGAGTCAAGAGCAGGTTTAGCTTTCATCACTTTTCTTCCCTAAGAATCAATAGGTAATTCAGAAAAGGGACTCTAAGAACAGAAGGAGCTGTCTGTCCATGTTGCTCAGAAACATGAACCTTTTTCTAAAAAATGAAGAAAGAAGCAGAGCATCACCATAAGGTCACATCTCTCCCTAATCTGTATGCACAGCTGGGAGTGGTACTTCTCCTGGGAACGTGGATTAAGCAGTGTTCTAGAGCATGAAACACCCCCTACACACACACACACACACACACACACACACACACACACACACGTGTGTGCGTGCTAGATTAGGAAGCGAGTCTTGGTGCTATTCTTGCCCCAGTGCTGGGACATCCCCACAAGACATAAGAGGACAGTGTAACCTCCAACTAAGGACGTACCACAAATATTATTAAAATATTATTACCACAAATTTCTGGAAATCATTTCCCTCAGGTCAGGAGAGATCCTACCGCCTTTTGGTACAGAAAAGTCTGTCTTTAGAGAGAGTGAAAGAGTGAGAGTGAGAACTCTACAGAGCAAGACAGATGGCCAGATGGACAGACGGACAGACAAATGTGACAATGGCAGCAGGTAAGTGCCAGGGGCCTAATCTTAATCCACAAAACACATGAAATGGAGGAATAAGCTAAGCAATCTTGCTGAGTGCAATAGTTAAAGACAGAACTCTCTACCTAGTTTACAGTTTTATGTTTCCAGCTGCTGGGAGTTTTACTGAGACCCTTGACTCTGAAACACAGAATAAAAGAGGCAGTTCTGATTCTACCATGGACTCTTTTTGTTCTACATGGAGAAAAACGAAAACATGTTACAATAGGGGAAATATACTTTAAAAACAAGAGAAACACTTGGGCTGCAAAATCATTTTGGTAAGTGAAAATCATTATCAAGTTCAAGCTTTCACCTCTAATACCCAAATGTTTTGTTTTGATGAGTAGGTTAGCAACAAGTATTACTGAAACAGAAGATCTTTCCTTCCTTCTTAATTGTAGGTTCAAATGAGAGTAGAGCAAGCTTAAGTTCATTGTTGCTTATGGTTTTATTGGGGAAGTGTGTTCACTGCAAATAACAATGCTGGGTCCTGCGTCTCCTCTTCTATGCTCCAGAACAGGAAATAGCATGGAGTGAGACGGAAAATTGAAAGCATTTGCATAGAGCAAAAGGTTTTTGAACATTGCTGTTCAAAATCTTAGAAATTCTTAATCTGTATCTACTCAGGGATTAGATAATAGTGCTGTATCTAAATAAAATGTCTGTGTTTTCAGGATGAATACAAACTGTCTCTAAGAATGTGCAAGAACAAAACTATAGTGGCAGCACAACAAAAGAAGGTATACTTTAAATTCTCAGGCAGCCTCGCTAAGCTTATTCCTCTGTACAAAGGAAGAGGGGGAAAAAACACCAGAGTTAAGTTTTTTCTGCTCTCCCATGGGTGGGGCTCCAAGGCAGAGTGGGTGGCTGCCACAAGAAAAGAACCCACGGAGCAGATTGGCCATGAGAATTCTAGAAGTTTGTCCTTTGCACTTAGACGCCTTGCCATTTTGCTTAAATGAAGGATGTCTTTAAAACATTTTTAGAAGGGCACAGAATTTTTAGGGGTTTATGGAATATTCTTATGTGAACTATAATGCACATTGGAACATTTTACCTACAGGCAATAACAATGAGCTAATGCTTGTATGGCCAACGTATTGCAAAGGTCTTTGTGGTCCCACACAATGTCTCCCTTTTCCCACCTCCCACCTCCCACCTCCCCCTTGCTCACTGCCCATCTTCATGTTCTTTGAACTCTCCAAATATGATCTAGCCCCAGGACTTTTGCAAATGATGCCACTCTCTGCCTAGATACTCTTACCCCAGAAATCAGCATGGCTCACCTGTCCTACTCATCTAAAAACCAATCAACCCTGCACACCATGCTTGTTTCTTGATTTTTCTTTCCTCCAGCGCACTTAACATCATTTTAATAACCTAAATATTTTACTTATTTATCTTTCTTATTGTATTTCAACCATTCCCAACTCCAGAAAGGTAGAGATTTTTATCTGTCTTTAATGAACATATCCCCAGCACTGGGAATATGACCTAAAACACAGAAGGGATATATTGGCTTACTATATGACTTTCCTATTAATTCATCTAACCTTCCTAGTGGTGAAGAAATTATTGCTGAATTTCCTGATGAGGAAACTTGAGGCTCAGAGTCAACTTAGGGGAGATATATATTCAGTAAGCAGCAGAGCTGATATCAGCCCCAGGACACCTGGCTCTACAACCCATGCCACTTCCTCTGCATCCCTACACTAGAGCAAATGCTGTGGGGAGCTTTAAGTTTAGAATCTAATGTAGTCTCATTAGAGGTGCATTTGTCCTACTTTTACATCGTTGATCACACATAGCAATTCAAATCGCTTATAATTAGTCACTGGAAGAGAAAGGAACTAAGATTAAATCATGCACTAATGCTTATTCAACACCACCTGGCTAGGCCTATATTAACAAAGCAAGTCCCATAAATGAGGTTGTTATTCTAATAATTTAGGCAAACCCCCCACTGTTCTTCAAATCATCAGAAAATAATTGCTCCAAGTTTTGTTCCATAAACCAGGGTTTTGCAACCTCAGTGTTATTGACACTTGGGGTTGGACAGATCTTTTTTTGTGGGATCTGTCTGTGCATTGTGGGACAGTTAACAGCATCCCTGGTGTCTCTTCACTAGATGCCAGTAGTACCACCCCAGTTGTAACAACCAACATCTCCCCAGAAAGTGACAGATGTCATCTGAGGGACAAAACTGCCCAGTTAAACACCTCTGTCACAGCAGACACTTCCTAGGCACAGTACTGAGGGCATAGTGGATAATAAGTAGCTAAAAACAGGACTGGACTTTGGTTTGTGTGAGCCAGAAAAAAATGAAAGGGTAAGATAAAAATTCCTCCTCTCCTCTTCTTAATCTGGATAGGGGAAGGAAACAGGATTTGCAGCTTATTGACCAATTGACTTCAAAAAATGTTGTGTGGTTAGCTATAGTACATTTCTCAGACCGTTAACATGCCTAACACTTCGTGGAATCAGAAAGTTCCTTCCCAAATATGGAACACAATAATAGCCAACTAACCCTCATGGTCATTCTCAGTGTCTTCCTCTCTTCCCTCTCCAATTTCCCCTACCATAGAAGAGCACTCGGAGCTAAGACCTCTTCACACCCCCTACTTCGCTGCCTAAATTCAGGCCCTTGGTATTGGTTGCCAGTATTACTTGTTGCCTCACTCCTTAGCCCACTCCCTCCCCGCACCACAGACCACTCTTTACTTTATAGCCAGAATCTTTCTGATACACCAATTCCCCTCTCTATTGAGTTCCAGAGCACTTCTCAAATAAATACTTTTTGGTAATACTGTATTACACAAAATTTAACAGCATTCTTTTTTTATATATTTTAAATATATTTTTATTGATTTCAGAGAGGAAGGGGGAGAGATAGAGAGATAGAAACATCAATAATGAAAGAGAATCATTGATTGGCTGCCTCCTGCACACCCCCTACTGGGGATTGACCCCACAACCCAGGCATGTGCCTCTGACTGGAATTGAACCTGGGACCCTTCAGTCTGCAGGCCGAGGCTCTATCCACGGAGCCAAACTGGCCAGGGCTAACAGGACTCTTTACTACTCCTTTCCTAAAGCCTATAGGCTGTATTATTTAGAATTTATGATTTACCAAATTATTAGACCAGAGGACCTTTTCTTGAAAAGTTTCTTGTCACTAATAGAACACATTTGAGGAAACATTGACTTATAAGGTTAAATTCAGTATAAACAACATCATTGATGTGTGACATGGTCAAGCATTGTGCTAAGCATTTGAAAAACAAAGCTAAATAAAAGACAAAGTCCATTCCCTTGATGAGCTTACATTCTTATGGGAAAAACCAAGAGACAGACAAAGCATTGTAATTCCTATAAGAGCAGTATAAAGATCTATTCAAGCACAAAACATGTCATATGTGAGTTAGGTCTTAAAGAACAAGTCAGAATTATCCATTGTGGGTTGAGGAATAGATGGGGAATAGAAGAAAAGAGTGGACCGGTATAGGGAACAGAACTAACAAAATCACTAGAACTAGGAAAAACAGACATAAATCATACTATTAAACAGGTGCAGGGAAAAGTGAAGAGAGATGAGACTGGAAAATTAGGCTGCAACCAGTTTGTCAAGGACCTCGCATGCAAGGAAATATGTTTGGGCACTAGAGTGAGGTCAATGTATTAGAGTGAACCCTATGAAATATATAAGCAGAAAAGCAACTT